CGGAAAAAAAAAAAAAAAAAAAAAAAAAAAAAAAACTTTGTTCTTTAGTTTAGAGATTATAAAATGCCAGAGTTGACTGAACATGAGAGAAAAGTGGATGTGTATGAAGTCATTATATTCCAGACTTGCAGCCAGAGAAAACCAAACCAGGTTAAATTAATTAACGTTAACATTAAAGAATTAATGTTGTGTGTATTGGGTCTGAGTGTCAGGCACAGTTTTACTGCTTAACAGAGTTCATACTGGGAAAACAACTAGGATTTAAACAAGACTCTGACTTACCTCGAAGAGTGTGAAGGAGGTTGCAATCAGGAACAGACCAGAGCTTGCAAAGCCCACTCCTATCAAATACAAAGGAAAGCATCTCAGCCAGGGTTGGTCTGGGAAGGAAAAGGTACCTTGGTAATATTACTAAAGGACTTTCTCTTCTCACCCCAAAAACACTTTACAGTGGCTGACAAAAAACAGAAAATAAAAGGCTTATAATTTGAAGGGTCATAGGAGAAAAAGCTATAACCAGGTTGCATGCAAGCAGAGGCCTTTAACTGGTCTATACTTAACATGGCACAAGTTGCCATTCTCCTTAATTTTTGGATCAATTTGTGAAGGAAGGAAGGACAAATTAAACTATCTAATAATAATAACAGCATTAATAATGACACCATCTCCTTAAATATGAATAGCATTTTGCCACTTACAGAGTACTTAAATTTTGAAAAAGACTTTTTATTTTGGAAAATGTCTAACAAATTACTTTTATATGTATTATCTCATGATTTTATAACAGACTTGTGAGGTAGATAAGGCAGGAATTACCATTCTACTTTATAGTTAAGGTAACTGAGCTTGTAGAGGTGGAGTGATTTGTATAGTTCGTTGGCTTTCTGCTAAACCACAGGCCTAGTCAATCAGTTCCTATGCATTCACTGTGAGTTTCTTCTCTCACTAGATAGCCATGTCCCACAAAAAACCAAAACCAAAATAAAATGAAACAAAGTTATTATATTCTAATTTTCTGCATTATGTGGTGGTAAGTAGAAAACAAAGACAAAACCAATAATTAACATTTACTGAGTCCTTACCACACACATACCAGGCACTATTCAAGACAAAATGCTTTACAAACACTCTCTCACCCCACTTTACATATAAGGACACTGAAGCTTACAGGCATTAAGTATCTTAGCTAGGCCACATAACTAAAAAAGAAAAGCCATATTGAGGTGTGGATACTACTTCGTCTATAATCTCACTCTATGACCTGCTCCAAAATAGTAGTGTCAAGAACATGACACAGGGCCGGCCCGTGGCTCACTTGGGAGAGTGTGGTACTGATAATGCCAGGGCCACGCGTTTGGATCCTTATATAGGGATGGCCGGTTGGCTTACTTTGGAGAGTGTCGTGCTGACAACACCAAGTTAAGGGTTAAGATCTCCTTACTGGTCATCTTTTAAAAAAAAAAGAACAAGACAGACTACTACAGGTCATAAATCTCTGGGGTCTCTGGTGAACAGTAAGAACTCCTAAACAAAAGCTACACTGTATAATATAGCTGGAGGACACTAGTATCTGTAGTTCAATGTGATTATGAGATGCAGAGGAAGAAGATGTAGAGGAAATCAGAGCTGGCCCATTAGCTCACTTGGGGTAGAGCACGGTGCTGATAACACCAAAATCAAAGATTTGGACCCATGTATTGGCCAGCCACCAAAACCAAAAAAAGACATCTAAGACAAATGTTGATTTTTTTTTTCAGAACCTGTCCCCCATTTAGGAAAAAACATCATTGTAAAATGGAACTTACCAACAAGCTGTGGCCAGCATTTTGGAATTTGGACTAAAGTGACAGTAGGAGATAGGCCGATCATCCCCAATCTGACTGCAGAAATTATTCAAAGACTTAAAAAAAAAAAAAAAAAAAAAAACAATGGTATTGGCCAGCCACCAAAACCAAAAAAAGACATCTAAGACAAATGTTGATTTTTTTTTTCAGAACCTGTCCCCCATTTAGGAAAAAACATCATTGTAAAATGGAACTTACCAACAAGCTGTGGCCAGCATTTTGGAATTTGGACTAAAGTGACAGTAGGAGATAGGCCGATCATCCCCAATCTGACTGCAGAAATTATTCAAAGACTTAAAAAAAAAAAAAAAAAAAAAGACAATGGGGATCCATTAATAGGCTAATCCAAGAGTTTCTTTGCTTTTCCAAAAGCAACTTTTCAATTTTAATCCACCCCAAGATTCTTTAATACTTTTTTTGTTGTTAGGAGACACTTATATTATTGAATGATGGAGTCTGGGCTTAATTGGAGTTCTACTATGCTGTTTTCTATAGTTAGTATCACTAGCTTCTGTATCACCTAAATATAAAAAGAAAACCACAGAATGATCTAAAGCACAGCTTTGACATATTCAGAGGGTGAATTAAAGACTACAACACAGGCCTCTGCTGAATACAATGCGTAGTAGGCTGCTGCCACCTTAACTGATGGCTCCTCCCATATCGCAACACTTCAAGCAAGGAGGAATTATAGCTCCCTTTACCTTCCCACAGGTTGGCCAAAGGAGAAAATCTAATATTAAGAACCTTCAAGGGCCGGCCCGGTGGCACACTGCTACAGTGCGCCGCTTGGGAGTGCGGCGGCGCTCCCGCCAAGGGTTTGGATCCCACATACAGACCGGTTCCTGCTCACTGGCTGAGCGAGGTGCAGGCGCAACACCGAGGGTTGCGATCCCGTTGCCGGACACGAAAAAAGACAAAAAGGAAAAAAAAAAAACAACCTTTAAGACACTGAACAATTGCAGGGAGCATCTTACCCGGAGAGATTTGTGTAGCTCCTGCATCTGGGAGGTCCTAGTTGTCTCAGGAATCTCTTTATGGAGACGGGCCTCTTCCAAGCGTTTCATTGCCCTGTGACACAGAAACATTATTACCATGAGCAAACAGGTCATAAACAAGGGTCCGCACACGTACCTCTACCACTCATTTTCATTTAACAACAACAGTCATTATAAAGCAGATGCTCAGTCCCTGATAGAAAAAAACAAAAGAATATGTGTCTTTCTTCTTTTAGAGGATCTCCTTACCTGGGCAGTGAGTAATTAGCAATCCATAGTCTAGCCACTTTCAGGCTGTTTGGTCCTTCATGATACCAGGTTTGCTGATACTGAACGGCAAATTAAGAGCAGAGATGTTAAATCTGAAGCATTACTACCCCTCCCATAGCTTCCCAGAAAAAAGACGAGTTAGGTTCAGTAATAGGATGAAGTCAGGGATATGTGCTTTCCACTGTATTTCTTTCTATGATGTCTTATGAGATGGTTTCTGGTTCCTTGTTAAGTTACACCAAGAATGCTCTGGTTCTTTCCTGAATGGAAAATTCACTTAGCTTCCTTCATACCTATACAAGAGCCATGCACTATTGGCAACTATTCCTGAGTGGTAGAGCCTTCAAGGACACTGTCTCTCCTCATCTTAGCAAGGTAAACCATTGAAAGCAGAAAATATGAGAACCATCCCCTCACTTCCTTCATGTTTACACTGTGAAGCCAAAGACATATTTTACCTCTTCTTTGGACTTCTTAGATTTCTCATCATCTTTTTTGGTCTTTTTTAAGGCATCAGTACCGACCACTGAGAGGATATTTCTTAACCTGTAATAAAAAGATTGGAATTTAAACACTGTTGAGATAAGATTGTGAAGAAATACATCTAAGAAGGGAGCAAGCCTCCACTACTTTCTCACAATCCAAACCCCTACCAACCTCCTTTAAGAGTCAAGTAGGCATGTCTAAACTTCCAGTGGGATTTCTTTCACTCAAACTTCATTTGAAGATTCCCTAAATACAACTATAAACAACTACACTACTCACTTAGGAGTCAACTAGCCCCAATATTGCTACCACTTGGTCTGTTAAGTCAGCCAACCTTCACTCAATGCCTCAATGTGCTGGATACTGAGTTTGGTGTTAAGTATACAACGATTAAAAAATACTTCTTGATTTCAAGTAGCATAGTCCTGGGGAGGAAGAGAGAAAGTAACAGAAAACTACAGTACATTATATTAAGTATTATGACAATAGTAAGCAGAGTGCTAAAGAGAAATAATATAGAAGGGGCACCTAACCTAGGCTTAAAGGGAGGATCAGGGAAGACTTCATAGAAAAGGTGTTATCTAAATTGAGTCCTCAATTTGTCAGGTCAAGTGGTTAAGAATGGGAAAATGACAGTCAAGGCAGAGGGTTAAATAAATGTAAAGCCCTGGAAATAAGAAAAACATCATAAATAATTTAGTACGGTTGGAGCATAAAGTACAAAAAGAAGACTGGTAAAGGATAAGGCTGGAAGGGCTGCCCCGTGGCTCTCTCGGGAGAGAGCGGTGCTGATAACACCAAGACCATGGGTTCGGATCCCATATAGGGATGGCCGGTTTGCTCACTGGCTGAGCGTGGTGCTTACAACACCAAGCCAAGGGTTAAGATCCCCTTACCGGTCATCTTTTAAAAAATAAAAAAATAAAAAAATAAAAGGATAAGGCTGGAAAGTAGTAGAGGCCAGCTCACAAAGAGCTGCTACTGCCATGCTAAGGAGGGTTTACGTTGGAGAAAAATCCCTAGAAAAGTACAGAGAATGTATTAAAAAGGGAAGAATAAAGGCAGGGAAGTCAGATTGTTGTAGAAATCCTCTGAGCCATAACAGAGAACTTGAATTAAGACAGTAGCAGTAGGGACTCAAGGCATTCATCTAAGGGACATAATAATGAACAAGACAGGCTTTGCTGGTGGAGAAGATAAATAACATACTATGATAGAGAATAACAGAAAGGCTTTCTTTGCAAGGGGTCAGGTGTTAAGAAAGCCTTCTTTCAATTAGTGGCATTTATACTGAAACAAAATAAAAAGGCTCTTAAAGGCAAGAGAGAGGAATGAAAAGAGAAAAATGAAGTTGAAAAGCAAAAAGAGAACTAGAGTATTCCAGGAGGATTGAGGTGGCTAGTCTAATAAATTGGGGAAGAGTGGCACAATGTAAGGTTGAAGACCTTACAGACCATGATTAGGAGTTTTTACCCTAAGTACAAGACACCGAAGGATTTTAAGCAAGCAATTAACACAACACGTGTGGGGCTATCACAACAGTCTAGATGTGAAATCAATGCAGACAGAGCAAAGAGGACAGATTGGAGGTACATTTCACCAGTCGAATAGACTAGATTTTGCTGATGGATTACAGAGAAAGCGAGGTAGGTTTCAACTGAGAACTGTGTGAGTGGTAGTGCCATTTGCAAGGAGAGTAAGAGATGGGTGGGACACGGAGTTCAATTAGATATTTCAAGTTTGAAGTACCTGTGGGATACCCAGGTACAAAGAGAGATTAGGGGGTCGTCAGACTATACATGGTAAATGATGTCATGAAAAGTGGATCTGATCACTCAGGGTGAGTGTAAAATAAGGGCAAAGAACTGCAGCTCCTAAAGGTCAGGCAGGGAAAAAAGAGGCATAGAAAGTAAATGAGAATTTGTCTGAATTTTCCTGATAAAGAAATGAGAATTTAAAAAAAGGGGGGAGGGTTGGCCCATGGCTCATTTTGGAGAGCGTGGTGCTGACCAAGTCAAGGGTTAAGATCCCCTTACCAGTCATCTCTAAAAAAAAAAAAAAAAAGATGCTGGACGTTAGCTCAATTGGTTAGAGCACAATGTTGAAAACACCAATGTCCGGGGTTCGATCCCTGTATTGGCCAGTTGCCCCCACCCCCCTAAAGTGAGAATTAGCTAGAGAGATAGGAGGAAAATCGGGAGGATTTGGTCTCATGGAAGTGAAGGAAAGAGAGTGCTTCAAGGAGGGAGTGGCTAGCAGTGTACTAGGGCTATTCTTAGTAAAGATGGGTTGGTGACCTTAACAAAGAGCAATTTCAATGTGGTAGGGGTCAGTCAGTTTGCAATAGGTTAAAGAGTAAACGAGGGGTAAGGACCTTAAGAGAATAATATAAACAACCTTTGCAAGAAGCTGATGACGAAGGGAAGAAATGGGACAGTGGATAGAGAACAAAAGGGTGTCCTCATAATTGCATATGACTAGCCCATCACTAAGAAACTTTGCAACCTTAAAAATCACAAGATGAGCATTACCTGAGGACACTGTGTCTCTTCAATAAAATCCAAAAAATATTTTTTATTATTATGTTTTATGTCACTGACATAAAATGCATTTGATGTCTACATTTTCAAAGCTAAACAACAAATGTTTTTCCAACTCAAACTTCACATTCAGGAGGGGAGAGAATACAGCATGTTAGCACTCTCTTCATGGTCCATAAACAAAAATTAGTAGGGGAGTAAAAACTGGCCTAAGACTCAGATTATGGGTCAAACTACATAAATACAACTTAATAAGATATTAACACTGAGACATTCTATTAAAGTTTCAAGCTAAAAGGTAAAGTGAAATTTGGAACTAGAGCCCTGTGATTAATAAAGAGTAAATATTTAGAAAAATCACCTTTCTCTTCTTTCAGCAGGGCCCTCTCCAAAAAGTGTGATAGGTTCCCCCAAGGCTCTAAGGCAAGCCTTGACCTCTGAGTCATCGGTGGAAACATTGATTTGCCGGGCTCGCTTCCTTCTTTCAAACTCAGCCAATACTTCCGCCTGTCTCTCACTGATGTGTTCTTCAATTTCAAACACTTCTCCTGTAAAAAGAACAGGTAATAGCAGCATAACCACCAGATCCTCATATAGAGAGAAATAAATAATTTCTAACAACTGGAGTCTGTGTATGTTCCTAGGGAAAGGCAACTTACTAATCTATTACACACTTCATAGATATTACACACTTTATACACAGTTTGCTGTTTTCAGTTTTTAAAATTATGCCAAACACATAAACCTAAATGACACAGCTTTGAAAGGCAGGAAAAGGTTCAAGCCACCTCTTGTTTCATTTGGCAAATTTAAACCTATACAAATACAAACACATAGCTTAGATGAGATCAGAAGGTAAGAGTACAAAACATCTTTGGCAAATAAATTAACTAGGCCTTCTATACAGAAGATAAAATTGAATTTATTTTTAAAAGTTTATTTATTTATTTATTTTACATGCTATGATGTTATGGAGCAGTTGGAGGGGGAGAGGGGTGGGGGAAGGAAACAGGATGGGAGGAGGAGGAAGGAGGGGTGGGGTTGAGGCCTGTGGCACCCCCCTCATCCCTGCAGTGGGGACCAGGGGGCTTCCAGTGGTGTCTTGCTCATTGCTGGGCTGGTTGCAGGTGTTGAGGGGGGGCATGGCCAAGGCCAGAGGCCCCGCACTGGCCTGGCTAGGGAGAGCCTGGGAGCACTTTCGTAGGCTGCTGGGTGGTCTTTGCTGGGCTGGTTGTGGATGTGTGTGTGGGGGGAAGGGGGTGTGGCTGAGGCCCTGGGAGTGGGGGTTGCGGAGGGCACTGCCCAGGCTCAGGAGTGAAATGTTATTTTAACAGCTGCCAAAGCTATTCTCTAAAACAGTCCCAGAACAGCGACACTCACAAATGTTAAATAGTAAACTGGAAATAATTACCATGAAAATGAGATTTCTGTGACTATAAGGCTTTTTGGAAAATCTAGCAACTAGTTTTAAAACCCACACCAAATACAAGCATTTAAATGAAAAATGAGAAGGACAGTGGCAATGCAGTTTTTTTTGTTTGTTTATTTTATTTTATTTTATTTTTTCTTTATTTTTTTCCGATATACAATGTGGTTGATTATTGTTGCCCATTACCGAAACCTCCCTCCCTCCTTCCCCCTCCCACCCAATAATGTTCTTTCTGTTTGCTTGTCCTACCATCTTCAAGGAATTGTAGTTGTTGTCTTCTCCCCCCCACCCCAGTTTTTTTTTTGTGTGTGTGTGTGTGTGTGTGTGTGTGAATTTATTTATATATTTTTAGCTCCCACCAATAAGTGAGAACATGTGGTATTTCTCTTTCTGTGCCTGACTTGTTTCACTTAATATAATTCTCTCTAGGTCCATCCATGTTGTTGCAAATGGCGGTATTTCATTCGTTTTTATAGCTGAGTAGTATTCCATTGTGTAGATATACCACAATTTCTGTATCCACTCATCCAATGATGGACATCTGGGCTGGTTCCAACTCTTGGCTTTTGTAAAGAGTGCTGCGATGAACATTGGGGAACAGGTATACCTTCGACTTGATGCTTTCCATTGCTCCGGGTATATTCCCAGCAGTGGGATAGCTG